ACTTCACGTCCTCTTCCCCGAGCGCTCACGCCCTCCCCCCCTCTCTCTCCCCCTTGTCTCCCCCCCCCTCTCTGACCTATATAACCTCTTGCCACGGCAGCTCTCCAACCGACTTCACCATTTTCTTGTTGTGGTTGTCCCACCGGATGAAGTTCGCTTGTGTTGCGATCGAAACGTCGTGATATGTTTAATTTAATTGCTACCTACGTGACTTTACCGAAAGAACCAAAGAGTATTAAACGGATTTGTAACGTAAATAACGGTAAAGGTACCGCCTGCAATTGCTTCCTCGTGGCATCACTGGCAAAAGGAAGAGTATCCATGAGCGGGAGCTCTGAATGCTTAAAACATCATTAGACCTCCTTTGCCAGTACCAAAATGTAATAATAGGGTTTTCCCCCCTTTTTCTGGCAATAAAAATGACACCTTTTTACAAGGATTCATGTCTGCATTAACCACAATACCTGCAGTCAAAATGCAAACAAAAACATACTATGATAATATATGCATTGTCCTTGAAACTGATTGGTCCACACCAAGGGACGGCTTTCTTTTGAGCCTCGACCCAATTGGTGCTCGACCAGATGACGCCTTTTCTCTCCAGTATTTTTTTGGCGGTTCATCCATAAAAAAGCTTCCCATTTAAAGATTCTCATTTGAATGGCATCAATATACCACAGACCCGGCCCGTTTATCAATGGAAATTCTATTAAAAGTTTGATATCACCGTATTTTCAATTATGCCTGGGCATAAGAAACACACATTTAGAATAATTGAGACTAGGCTCTAAAGAAAGCTGCCTCTGGTGTGGACTAATCAGTTTCAAGGACAATGCATATATTATCATAGTATGTTTTTTGTTTGCATTTTGACTGCAGGTATTGTGGTTAATGCAGACATCAATCCTTGTAAAAAAAGGTTTCAGTTTTGTTGCCAGAAAAAATGGGAAAAACCCTATTATTGCTTAAAACATTTTAACTTTCATGATAAAGGACCGTATTCAAATGTATCTTAAGCCTGAGTATTAAAGGAGAGTATGGCTTTATGCATAGAGGATGACTCTCAGGTGGGACCAGCCTTTATCGAGCAAGAGAAAAAATACTGGAGAGAAAGATAATTTAATCATAGAGCCTTCATTAGTTTTCTTTGGTTGCTCTCACAGTCACCAGAGATAAGATGCTTTTAGACAACCATAGAAAAGTCACTTGGAAAGTACATTTCCTTTACTGAGGAAATAACCCATGCATTGCAGGGATGCAGGGTAGCGTTAAATGGTTTTCTTTCATTTTAAAGTCACCTGCAGTTAAGCTCTAATTTTTCCATCTGAGTTTAAAGCTGTGCTGGCAGATACATGCACACACAGACACATTACTATCTGCAGCTAATCAGATTTAAAGTCTAGTGAAACACTGGTCATAACCTAAACAGTCCATGTTCTTATATAACATTCTAGTATTTAAAATAACACATTTTCATATCCGCTGGATAGAACCTCTTTCATGAAAATCGTGGTACAACGTAAGGAATTAACTAAATGTATCCTATTCATGATACAGCACAGTTAGCTAACATACATATCAGGGCTGTAACGATGCATTACTTGGACTGAAATATATTTTTTTTATTCTCAAAATACATGCATCGAATTGTGCATGTGGAAATTCCAACAACCCCTGCAGACACTAGGATTATAGGTTCACCACAAGGTAAAAGTGATGTTTGATTGAATAATGAGCCTGAATTGAGACAATTCATCCAAAAAACAAAGAGGATCAATCATTACATTCCCAGTGAATGCCATTATGCTGTCTTTCCGCACACAAGCGACATTAAGTTTAACATAGATGCTACTGGCCATCGTTTTTCATATACATTTTCTCAGCAAAAAAAAAACCAATATAGTGTACAAACACACATTGCCCCGTTAGTCATTGATTCTGATATTATATGTGACCGTATACCATGCATACATTAGTGGTGGAGATGAGCACGGATGGCTAAAACTAAAGATGGAACCAGTGCCCTAAAAACATTACCTAAGGGGTACCGAAAAGATGCTGGGTGTGGCAGACAGTTCGCTTCTGGAAAGAAAAGAGCTTTGTAGCTGTGGGCCTTTCCTCGTAAAATAAAAATAAAAAAAATAGTTTCAAACAGTTTTAATCTCAATGTAGGTCCCTCAATAAATAAAAACAACAGTCGAGTTTCAGTGAGGCTTTCATGGTTGTTTCCATCATACCCGCCGGGTACTAGTCTGTTTTTCCGAGTTACTTTCCCCCCGTGTCCCACACTCAGCTTCCCACTTCTAGCCCCGCCTACTCCCCCCCTACAGCCTCACTTCTTCTCCCCGTATCGCTCACGCAGCGCACCTCCTTCCCCCCCCCTCTCTATCAGCCCTTGCTCCTCCCCCCTCTCTTACCTATATAACCTCTTGCCATAGGCAGCTCTCTCGCCTACTTCAGCATTTTGTCTTGCTGTGGTGTTGTTCCACCTGATGAAAATTGCTTGTTTTCTTGGTTCTTTCGGTAAAGTCACGAAAGAACCAAGAATATGAATCCCTGCAGTCACGAAAGCTTTAAATAAAAAAAATAAAAAAGATTGCTTGTGTTGCGATCGAAACGTCGTGATTTATTTTATTTTATTTCTACCTACGTGACTTTACCGAGAGAACCAAAGAGTATATTATGACAGTGAGGCAGGAACTGCCATGCACATGCACACATGTACAGGTCAGATAAAATTCACTGGATACCGGTGTATGAATGTTAAAATAAAGCACATGACAAGCGGTCATATCTGGATGTGCTTGCATAGCGCTAATGTGACAAACATCACTCACTCTAGCATCGCTACTATAGGAGGGCAAATCGGGCATCAGCTGCCAGCAGTGCTTGGACATTGTCCCCTGGGCTTTCTTTAAAAATGAGATGGCTGCAGATACCATGATGTCTTGAAGGTGCACTCTGGAAAATCCACTAGCCACTTATTTATGCTGTCACACACACACACACACATCTTGGGCTCATTTTCCAATAGATTCCTCTCAATAACACCATGCTCATGCTGAATGTCGATACATAAGTCACGAGAACTGCTGATGGATAATGATCAGTAGTTGTGGCCAGAGACATAAGGGATGGTGGGGTGGAACAACCACACTGCCATCATCCTTTTCAATCCCACGCTCCCTTTGGAGACGTGTGTGTTGAGACAGATAGTCTCAAAGAAGGGAAACAATAAAATAAAAAATATATATTATTTTATTGTTTCCCTTCTACATGACTTTACCGAAAAAAACAAGAATATGAATCCCTGCAGTCACGAAAGCTTTAAATCAAAACAGATAGTCTCGTTTATACAAATGACTTACACACACAACACGTGCACACGTAAACAACACGTGTGCACACATCATACCGCATGGACAAGTTCTGTTCGTGAGCACCAATACAGATACAATGGAAAATGTAGACATGTGATGTTAAATCCTACTGTAAGGTTATGTACGATGGTTAAAACACAATGAAAATCACTCGTTCATTACGAATGTTGTGAAGAGTGCTGTCAATTGCTTTGTTAGGGGTATGTAAACTTGCATCCAAGCGAGCCGATATTTTGACATACGACTTTGCTTGTGCATGTGTACACAATATATTTATGTCGTTGCTAAGATGCCGATAATACAAATCTCATTTGCAGAAAAATGCAGGGAAATTTCTGGAGAATGCTTTATGCACTTTTAATTGTTGGCAGAGGTTTTCAATGGACAATAGGGCTTGACAATGATAGATTGCTGATAGATAAAATTAGACATTATTGATGACATGTGATTAATGTTCAAGAAGGAGTTGTGACAATTTGCTTTGTAAATGATGTCAGGAGAACGATAGATGTTTGCGATAATGTATAGAGCTTATCATCATTTCTACTGCATCATGGCGACATCAATGCTCAAACTAAGATTATTCCACAGCTTCTTTAAAGGACTCAATAATGACACCGTCGAGTCTTCCCACACCGTGGAGCTGAAGGTTAAAGGGTCACAGAGGGAAGGGCAGGTAAGAGCCCTTTGTAGGAATTTCAAGCAGCACGCATGAATAAATGTCAGCGCTTCTCCACACACCTTGTCAACATTTAACGGCGCTGCATGGCTGTATTTTTTAATATGAATTTTAACATTTGGAGAGCACAGGAAGATCACACGAGCAGCAGAGGAAGCGCCTGCATCATCTCCAGGAATGCTTGGCCTATAAGGTGATTTGGGTTGGAGTTTGGCAGGGTGGTACTCTGCTATGTGCTTGTGTGTTCGAGGACAGCAAAAACAAAATCAATAAGAAAAACGGTCGGTTCACCCCACGGCATTTATCAAGTATCATGACCGGCTTCCGTTGAAGGTTCAGATTCTGTATAAGATCCTCATCTTTTTTTTTCCCCACCACATAGGAGTTCGTGCAATAAAGTACTGCAGTACTTGATGTACTTGGGAGTTATTTTTCAGTTTGAGTCTGAACGTATTTAAACACTGGACTTAACACAGGTAAAAAAAAGTCAATTTAATATAGCTCGCTTTTTTAATTTACGGACATGTGAAACATGATAATTATAATGTATTATTAATGATTAAGTCAAAATGACATGCTCAAGTATATGTACAGAGACATGTCAACATGTAATGTGTGCACGAGTGACGCGGAATAAAAGTTGTGCCTTGGATCACACGCACAGTTGCTCATTCATCCGCACTGCAAAATATTTAATTACGAAACATCCATCAGGAAGGATGACGTCGCAGACGACTAGGTTACCATAAGGGCTTTCCATCGACTGCACTAATAACAGCAGATGGTTCCTGCCAGTCGTAGATCATTGCAGGGGCAACAATTAATTTGTCCCCATTTTGCCCATCGGTGTTTAGTCTGTCGGGGGGTTTCTGCGTGGGGCAGCGGCAACAGCGTACACGTGGAGAAAATCAGCACATGTTTGCATACTTGCAAGGCCCTACCTCAAGTGCTGGCCAATTAGATGGCAGTTCACAGAGCCTGCTCCGTTGCACCTGCGTGTTGGAAGGACAACAGCGCAACAGCAAACACGGTTGGCCTCGCGACGGTCACAAGCCAGGGGAAGGGGTAAACCCCACATCAGCAGCGTTTTTCCCGACAAAAGGCGACACACTGGAAATGCAGAAGACCTCCATGCTCATCAATATGCCAATTCGTGACTAGTACAGCACACCGCTGTGTTGGAGAGCCAAGTCACAACATTTACAATATGAGTACAACGTTTCGCCAGTAATTACAAGTAGCTTCATTAGGGGACAGCCAGATTTGTGGAGAAGTCCCCCTGTTTCGTTCCTTGTATAGAGCCGTAGATGTGGTGACCACGCTTCTGCGCTCTTGACTTCTCCACAAATCTGGCTGTCGCCTGATGAAGCTAGTTGTAATTACTGGCGAAACGTTGTGCTCAGATTGTAAATGTTGTGGCTTGGCTCTCCAACACACCGGTGTGCTGTACTAGTGACGAATTGTCCACGTTCTATTTACGTGACAAACCTTACTAGTTGGCTGTGTCGGGTGGTGGCGGGTTTTAATAACACATTTATATAATTACGCGATTTAACGCAAAAAAAACCTGTATTATGGATGACATTGGTCGCGAAAGCCTACGTGTTAAGATGAATCATTATTATTAACGACAATAAGCCCCGTCAGTTCAGTTGGAAGGGCGGTGAGCCTCCGTTAGTAAAATGTATGAGCTCGACTATTAGTCACGTTCTAATCAGCCCCATCGTCCTTCCAGTGTGAGTCGAGTCAGTACCACCTGGTGCGTGCCACGTTGTGGGAGGGAGGTCAATTATGGTTGTGTTCCATTTTTCAAACCCAGCACAGGGCCAACAGTAGCAATGGGCATAGTAAAATGCTGTTAAGACATGCCACTTGTGTTATTTTAATATTATGAAATGCTTTGTTGTGCTTTGCTGTGACATCCCTTAAGACACAGGAATTTAATGAAAACTGTTGGGCAGGGTATTCTTTCAAAGTCGATTGAAGAGAACATCTTTATACAATTTAAACAAGGGCCATTGACTCTATTATCTATATATATATAAAAAAATCATTGAACTTTTCAAAACATTTAAACAAAATATCCATTAATGAAAGCAAGAATAAGCCATGTCATTGATACTAATATTTCAGGAGATAAACAACACGTTTCTTCTAAAATAATTGCAATAAACATAGCACTGGCTATTTTATCAGGAGAAAATAAAAACACCCTTAAATGACAACCTTGAGCATGCTTCAAGATTAAGTCACAATAATTATACCTCCTCACACCCTACCTCTATCACTTAAAATTTCAGGAGAAATATCTAAAAAGCTGTTTAAACATCGCACGTGACATTCCAATTATTTTCCTATTTGGTCACACATGGTATGCCAAAACCCAATGTCCCAGCCATGGATATTAACCAACAAAGGAGTGGAATAATGATCGAGGATTTGCAACAGTCACATATAACGTCCTCTTGAAGAGAGCGTCCCCAAAACCCTTAACCCTCAGCTCCACAACAACATCAGGGTGGTGTTTGTTGATGGCACAAACCATCGGCAGTGTGTGGAAGTAAATGACACGTCAAGAACTCTTGGGCGAGCCAGTATCCAGGGTCTGCTCTCTCTTAATCACTCACACTGAGCAAATATCACGCTTCAACCAGTCAGGGCTGCGTGTCGCCACCACCTGCGACGGTGTCCGCACGTGGACACTTAGGGCCGAAGGCCTCTCATGTGTGACGAGCCAAGGGAAGCCCCGTGTATGACCAGCTGCAGCTTGTCTCTATGCACCAGCCAGTAGTAGCCAAGGGAAGCCCCCTGCATAACCAGCTACAGCTTGTCTCTATGCACCAGCCAGGAGTAGCCAAGGGAAGCCCCCTGCATAACCAGCTGCAGCTTGTCTCTATACACCAGCCAGGAGTAGCCAAGGGAAGCCCCCTGCATAACCAGCTGCAGCTTGTCTCTATACACCAGCCAGGAGTAGCCAAGGGAAGCCCCCTGCATAACCAGCTACAGCTTGTCTCTATGCACCAGCCAGAAGTAGCCAAGGGAAGCCCCCTGCATAACCAGCTGCAGCTTGTCTCTATGCACCAGCCAGGAGTAGCCAAGGGAAGCCCCCTGCATAACCAGCTGCAGCTTGTCTCTATGCACCAGCCAGGAGTAGCCAAGGGAAGCCCCCTGCATAACCAGCTGCAGCTTGTCTCTATGCACCACATTAATTCTCTTGAGGAAATTGTTTTCGCTTCACATGGGATTTTTTTAACGAGGAATTAACGCGCTGAATTCTCTTCATTAAATTTTTAAAAACAGTGTTGTAGCGAATCAATGCATTGTAAATCGAACTGTGTTCCCCAATTCGTTGGCGATGTTATAGCGAAATAACGTGAATAGTCGCACCGTAAATAGAGGACATCCCGAACCACCACTCTTTTCCGCGAGGATTGGCTTTTTTTTCATGCGCAATTAATCAGACCATATTGGTACTTTAGCCACTGAGTGGCCAATAATTATCTTGGAGATAAAGTGGTCCTAGCACCTCTCTGAACCCAAGTTGATCTATTCCTGGCGCAGTGCTGCTTGAATGGCCGATGATCAGCAACCAATTAGGGTTTCAACATCGCCGCTACCATTGTCAAGTGTTGATATTATATGCATCAGCTGCGCGATAGTGAGCAATCGCATTATGAAGAAACTAGCCATGCTGGATTTTTATCCCGTTAAATTATTACCTGCCATTGACTGCACAGGGCATGGTGCTGCTATAATCATAACGATACAGTTGTCGAACTTGTTGTTGACGTTTAATTTTTAGTTGACTAGCTGTCATTGGTAATAATTTAGAATGCTGAACAGTCTATAGATTTGATTATTTTATTGCATACAAAAGACAGAGTGACAGTGGCCTCTCGTGAAAATCTCCTGAAACACAACACAGCAAGGTGCCAAATTGAAGAAGCCACTGATCACCGCTGACCAACAGCGTGTGTCTTTCCATTAAGGCATCTCCGACTACCTCTGCAAGAGAGGCACGGGTCTCTGAATATCCATGTGTTATGCATGCTCTCAGAAATAGAATGAATTCAATTACATGCGAAATCAAATGAATTTGGATATTATTGGGTCGCCATTAGTGGCCGGACTATGACCATCGCTACATCGTGTGTTACCACTGCAGCCCATGCCATACTCAGTCTCTTCATGTTGGGATTGCTCGCTCATTGCTATGCCATGGCCATTTGCCCCATAAGCAACTTCTAGAAATGTTGGATTTTAATTCAAAATATGATGCTGTAATTCACACTTATAAAAATCTATTAAGATACAATGCCACATTTTAAGGCAGGCCTGAGAAACGGTAACCAGATACATGTCCTAAATGCATGTTTTAATTGTTAATGGGTTATTATTTTTGAATGGTATAATGAATACATTTTACATACTCAGATGTCGATGTGTGGTACTTTGATTATCTTATCTTGTATAGATTTATAAAGCACCTTATTCCAAGGCGCTTTAAATCTATTATAAAATTGTACATAAGATGATAGTGGTTGAAATAAAGAGTGGGGTTATTAAAATTAGTGGCGTAGTTATGGTGGCAGGAGAACAGGCGGGAGAGGTTAGGAAGAGGTAGGGGTAGTGACAGGGGTAGGGGTAGTGATAGAGGTAGGGATAGTGATAGGGGTTGTGCTAGGGGTTGGGTTAGTGATAGGGGTTGTGCTAGGCCTGGTCATCGCTGGGGGGCGGGGGCAGGGAGTAGCAGTATCAGAATGGGCTAGGGGAGAAGAGATGGGGGTTGTTTTAAGAGAGCAAGGGAAGCAAATATGGGAAAAAGAAGCAGAGCGAGACTAGGTGCAGGGCGAGCGAGGCACACAGAGGGACAGCAGAGACTGGGAGTGTGGAGAACGGGAACGGGACAAAGTAAGAGATGAGAGAAACAAGAGAAGGTGGAGCAAGACCATGGAGGGATTTATAGACTAAGAAGTGAGAAATATCGATAGTCGAGAGGGAGTCAGTGTGGTTAAGAAAGCAGAGCAGACGAGTGGGAATTGTGGGGGGAGCTAAAACATGGTCTTGGCTGAGGCACGGACCATTTAGACATGCGTGAAATAAATGCTGGTCTCGAGGCAACTTTCCTGTCATCCCTTCTATGTTGACACATTTGTAAATACTTGGTGCTAAGTTAACAGTGGTTGTACGATGGAAACCGCAATGTGAAATTTCCACCAAAGCTAAGGGACTTCCTCCAACGAAGATCAACACCGCCCCAGGTTAATATGAGTGACTTTAACTTTAATTTGACACAGTATACCATAACACTTAGCCGCAAGAACATTTTAAATGTCGTTTGTAGACCATGCTCTGGAAAACAATAACATGATTGACATAATGCTTGTACAGGCTGATTAATGCTTACTTTATGGCATTGCTATGCTCAAACAATTCCTGCACCATGACGAGGCAGTTAAACAAATAAAACCATGAACCTAGTGTAAACTTAATCAGCGGCTAACACATAGTCCCGTTGGCAACTTGGGGTCTGCTAAAAAGACATCGCAGTGACATAGGGCGTTTTCAAGCTCACGATGTTCTGCTAACATGTGGGTGGCTTTTGCTTTAATTGGCCAGGAATATTCACGTCTAACTCGATTGCATTGCAGTCACTTTCCTGCTAACTGCTGATATTGTGCGAGCAGCATTTGCATCAGAATCAACATTTAGTTAGTCAATAAACTTTACTTACATTGCAAGTGAATATATTTTTCCAGGACGTTGAAATTGCCTTAAATGAAGCACGATGTAATACTCTCAATCTAATTGTTTCCTGTCTCAATGAGCCACGGGGTGATTGTATTATCTCTCTTGGTGGCCCTGAGTTCGTGGAAGAAATTCTATGTTACCATGGTGGGGGCCATTTTATTCATAGGACAAGCAGTGTTGACTTATTGCAAAGTGGTCCCAACATTATTGATACAATAGAGATGATAGGATGAGTTGACCTTTGCCCAGGATTTAACTGGATCCTTCAAATTTTTAGGCGAATGCTCTAACCACGGCACAACCTGGTCGGATCCATTTCAAATTAAAAATATTTATTGTGAGTGAGAGGCTGGTGATTATGGATTCTAAATAACGTTTGTTTCCTGTCTCAATGAGCCACGGGGTGATTGTATTACATTTTCGTGGACATCTGAGAAACGTGGTGGCCATTTCTCTCCATACAATTCTTGAATGACAAACTAATCACGGTTAAAATTTGGAAAGAAAAACATCGGACTTTGGTTAATTTGAATTCAAATTGAGTTTTTCGCACTTCTTGTCTGCAATCAATGGTCACAGGGAATCCTGTGGATGAGGTCCGTGCTTTTTGCAGGACTCAATTTGCGATGGGGCTGACAAACGGAACCGTGGGTAATGCGTGCCAAACACTGAATTAGTGACAAGAGGCAGCAATTCTCGTTACGGTATTTTTTCACGGTACAACCGTGGACCACGTCAACAACAATTGTGAAATTCATTTGTGGAAAAACAAAAGCGGCTTTTTCGCCAACGGCGACGGAATATACTAATGAAGCAACAATAGCAGATACGGAAAAAAAAAAACACACCCTCTTGTATCAATCGAATATATTTTCATTGCCAAAAAAAATAAACTCGTCACCATTTGTTAAATTCTGAAAAAGGCTCTAAGAGTTACAGCCTGTTTACGTATGACATCACAGATGTGTCACCACGCACAAAAATACGGCGAGGGGAAAGTGATGAGCCGTCAGGTTTATGACGGAAAACAATTAAGTGTGGAAACAACAAGTGGTGAGTAGTTCAACAGTTCCCCTGCTGGATTTTAGTTTTTCCGCCTGAGGACGACCGCTTGTGTTGCGATCGAATCGTCGTGATTTATTTTATTTTATACCTACGTGACTTTACCGAAAGAACCAAAGAGTATGGTGATTAGTCTGTGTGTGTAAACAATATCAGCATAAAGTCGTGATGTCTAGTTTATATCTCATCACTGTGTGAACAGTGGCTCCGTGGTTACACTGAAATAAGGATTCAGCGACCTGCATTCATTTTACCCACAGCTAGAACCAGTGGTGAGTTACATCTTGACCAGTACCTGTTGCAGTATTTAAACATCAGCAGACAGAGGTGACTGGAGATGGTGGCGGCTATACCAACCAATGGTTTGCCATGCCGGTGTAAAAAAAGATAGTCACGAACAACACCTGCCCCAAACTGGTCATAAGACTATATGGGGGACATTTATCTGTGTTTGTCAAACCTCTGTCTATGTGTGACTTCACTGGAGTGGCGGCACATTGAATCACCATACTACCTTCCTGTTGACCTGGGGTTTAATCCCGTCCAGGCACCACGGTGGCAAGTGGTGTCTCCGCACCTACGATTAGCGCGGTTGGCTGCGTACAGTTCAAAATACGTACATAAAGTTCAGCCTTATGCTGTCATGCCCAGCACAGTCACTTCGTGGATCTCTATAATATGTCACCTAGGCCAATGGTATATTTATGCCGGACTTTTAATAATAGCTCGAGAAACGTACGTACATATCTGAATTTGTTAAGCATGAATGAGCATCTGGTGTGGTGTGTTGACACCAGCTCACCAACAGCAAATGTCCCTATGGATCGCTAAAGGTGCATGGGGAATCATTGCACGTGGACTACAAACTCATTCGCACTCTTTGCAAAAAGTTGCATTCCCTTAACAGAATGTGGTGTACGTGCTTTCTTGGTCTTTTACGATAGGTATGGCAAATGCATGTAAATTGGATGGCTTGTCCATGCCGTTTTGTTCAGAGGCGAGTCAGCCCACTTACTGTTGCAAGCTTCCACTCTAAGATTTATCCGTATCGGCCACATCTGGCATGGAGAATTAGTAAAACCCCCATAGCAGATTGTGGAGCTGTGCACTTCAGTAGGTGGACATGGCTACGCCCGTGTGCACTTTGCGTGTGTACAACTTTGCGTGATATTCCCTGCAGAAAAGGCCACGAGATAAAGGTGCAGCCCTGAAAAGTATTCACTACACAGCTACTCGTAGAAAAAGGGGCTCCCTCCACTAGCGAGCCATAGTCATGGCGAGCCCCTCCAGATGATAAGTGTATTTTTGGCCACACCTCCGCACTGGTCATACATTTTGTAAGATGTGGAAGTGCCTACACTTTACACCACCACATGTGGCATGCGGAGCAACTAACTGTGGTGTGATACATTAACATTGTTGGGTGTATAGAGGCAGGGGATCATATCAGAACGTGAACATTGTTTGCCCTGCCGTGCCTGGAGATCGAACGGGCAACCTCTGCATTGCAGAGTGCCAACCATGACACCAAGGCAGCGCCATCCTCTGTGGAGGTGTGCTTATGTGTGGAGATGTTTTATTGCAGTCACAATCCACGTGCGTGTCAATGACATCTTCTCGTAGGTGTGCGTCGTTGTGGAACACGAGTGAAATGTAAAGGTGGACAGGGGGGTGGCACGAGATTGACCAAATTTATCATTAAACGAAATCTACTGATTGTCAGGCTCGTGAAATTCTGTCAGAGCACGAGATGCAGATCCAATGGACGAGTCTCACGGACAAGGAGCCGAGCTTGAAAGGCGCCTCCATGTGCTCACGTCTGGACCTGCGCGTTTGACCCTGCAGTTTACATGTCTAAGCAAGGCAGTAATTATAATATATATTGTGGGGGACACATCCCCCCAATATTCAAATATGCTGAAAATGTCCCCCCCAATATATTGCTATATAAAAAAATAATTGCTATGCTATATAAATAAAAACAATTTTCTAAACCTTGGCCACAATATCTGGACTTGTCTTCATATAAATCAAAGCATACATTTCTGTTTGTATGATTGTGGTTATGGTTGTACTTTATAAATCCCTAATCTCTGCCATTACATACAATGAATCAAGAAATGTTTAAAAAGTAAAAACAGAGAAATGTAATACAATACACTATTAGACATTATTGTAAAAAATAAATAACAAGTCCATCCCATGTGTTAGTGAATTTTTGTTAATATTTTAGGCAGGAAATTCGTTTTCAAATTTAGATATTTTTCTGGGTTGGGACCCCCAGACACCCTGGAAGATTTGGTCCCCCCCCAATGCTGACGCCATGGCTACGGCCTTGTGTCCAAGTGAGTGCAGGCGTACGCATCGGTACGCACGCGTGAATGCCTGCGGTTTCACATTCGTGCGTTGGCTGTGCATGCGCTGAAGGGGTGGCAGGGCGCTGCGCCAAGGCCACCCGAGTCTAACTCCCGGCCACGAAGTCGGAGGGCTTCACCAAGCCACGCTGACCAGGGTGGCGATGAATGGTCAAACATTCTCCCGTAACTAGCAAGGTGTGGGGAGACACTCATCCTTTTGGCTGGAAGCTAATCATTTCATTTTACGTGAGCCTGTTGTAGCACGATTGGTGCGCGCGCATTTGGTGTTTGCACGGGCGCACGCGCGTTCCTCTTGTCACCCGCGTGCGTGTGTATGTTGCACTTCTTTTTGCGCCGTACGCAGCCAACCGCGCTAATCGGAGGTGCGGCGGGGGAGGGGGAAGGACATCAAACTAGACGCAAGAAGCAGTTCCCAAAGAAACGCATTTTCATTTCTTTACAACATTGCATGGTGCAGGGGCACACGCTAATGCACGTGGCGCCGGCGGTAACGCGCCCCGGGTTGCTGGTGCTCTGCGTGCGAACCCGTGAGAGCAGTTGGGGTGGCAGGCCCTGCAGCTGTTGTTCTCGTCGGGGTACTTTGAGAGGGGTTCCTCGTTGCCGCCCAGCACGCCCGTGGGACACGTGCTCACACAGTGCAGCCCGTCCACGTAGTGCGCGCACCTCACGCAGCTGTTGGAGCCCTGCACACAGCCCACACAGCCAACACAGCCAACACAGCAGCAGCAGCAGAGGCTATGGCTGTTTATTTCACCTGAATGGGAGATAAAGCGGCTGGGGAAAAAGGGGAGAGTGAAATCTTGACTGAAAGCTTTCGTGACTGCAGGAATTCAGATTATTTGGGTCTTTCGGTAAAGTCACGTAGATAGGTTCAAAGAAAATGACAATAAAAAAACTACGACGTTTCGATCGCAACACAAGCGGTCGTCATCAGGAGAAAAAAAAATAAGGGGAAAGTGGTTCAGAGGCCGAGCCAATGATTTATATATTTTCAGTTCTGTTGCACCAAATGGGTACTTTGTGCTCGAAAGCTTTCCCCATTATGTGCTGTAATTAAACATAAATATGTACGGTAATAGCGTCTGCGTTTGTATAAACTGGTTACTTTCATTGCAATTATTTGCACATTGCACACTGCTTAGTGCTGACATTGGTTGTCAGAAATGTGACGACGAACATTGATGTAATGTGATGTTGTTTGGTTCGGTAGGGCACTATATTACAAAAACACGACGATAAAACATAGATTAATTGAGAGGAGAATACATAGCATGTAAATAATATGACTGCAATGGTAGGAAAAACAGATTAGCATATGAATAACAGCCAATAGAGAGATTGTGTCGCAGAAACGATTGAGTGTAGCATCACAGGGTCAAGGGAGGGTCCTTCTTGCAGCTTGGATAGACCGTGACTCGTAACGATACAGATGGCAGATTCAGTCCATTGATAGATGTCTACAAAACTAAAATGCAATAACATTTATGACTATACTTACTGCATCTGCTTTTCCAGTGGGAATGTGTTCAGTATATATTCCATATATCTACTGTATATCACCGTTTAAATGTGCTATACTGTATATGGACACTAAATATGAACATCACAGTGTAGAAATGTGGTTTTGGGTTAAATTATCTGATGCATATGGTGTAAATTTTCGTAGCAGTAAGAACAATCACGTGACACTAGCTTTGATTAGGTGTATTATGTATTCAACACTATTTTATTAAACATATGCAGGTGAATTTCATCAAGCCAACTTTTAAGAAAGTCTAAATAAATGTGGTGTGGCAAAACCAGTCCAAGAAGATGTAGAGGAAGGCGATGGAGCGATTAGCTCATGGTCTAAAGGTCAGTGGATTTGTTCACGATTGTCATAGATGGTGGCAGCTTTGGGAGGCCATCATACAGCAGTGGATCGATCCTAGATGATTATTATAAATATACAGTAATATACTGACGAATATCTGCGGTGCATTCAAGCGTGCATATTTATCGTGAATGCTAAGTAAAGGATATGTCAGACATTTAACAGAATACAAAAAGACCCATTCTTGCTGTAATTTACCAGCACGTGACCTTGAAGAAGGAACATTTATATAACTTTACATTAATGCACTGGTAAATTGAAATGTGATTTATGGAGACTCGGTAAATTGGTAGTCACGTTGTGAAGTTTAATATCGAGCAATCGACACAAAAACAAAGATGCCCTCATTAATTGGAAGACGACAACCCATCAGAACTGAATCTCTCAAAAGTGCTCATGATATGATTCTTCAAAGTTTTGTAAACAAGCACAAGGGCATCCCTTTTCAAAATGATGTCGGCCTTGGGATGAGATGGTGCTTGGTACATCGTTGCATTGCAGGGTATTGAGTTATGGTGGCAGTTTGGGAAGCACTTTATCCGGAAGTTGGATTTGTCATGGGCTGATGTTAATGATAATTGCAATGTGGGTCCAGTGCTTCACACTGTGACCTTAGTGGACGATACATAAACAATGAGATCCTGCACTCGTATAGCTTCGTCATTTTCCACTGAACATTTAAGTCAAATTTCAGACGTGCAGCATGACCACGTTAACCATCTTGAACTCCTCATTCTGTACACAGCAACAGGATCACCTCAATAACCTTGTTACGGGTCTTTGTAAACATAACAGCATACTCATCATACAACACGAAATATGCTAGATCGTAGGACTGTATTAGCAGCCACTAAGGACCGCTTGGGGTCAAGTTAACCCATAAGATAGAGTCGGTATGACTGGAGGCCCAAACTTAGTCAGGGGTGCTCTCCATTCCTGGCATAGCCACGGCTCTCCAAATCCCGCGCATTACTCATTCAATACAGATACATTGGTCAAAAGTCTTGTACCATTGTGTTTGACTCTTATTAGACATTAAAGGCTACAAAGCTGATCATCTTACAAAGCGGATTCATGCAGTCTCATTTACATTTCAAAGCGCATCTCATTACAAACTTCACATCATATTCATGGACAGCTCTTGATTACAGAAACTGAGCCATGTTCTGTCCACCGTCTGCTTCATGATGCTTCCTGTTTCCTGTAGATAATTTAGTTTAACATCAATTACACTGTGATTATTTCGTTTCCTTGAGAGACAGCAGAAACTTACTATATGCCTAACATGTAAAATGTTGCACATAGAACGCTCTGATAATTAGCTTTTTAAAATACAATTTTAATCCATGCATAACATTTCGCACGTTTTGTTTAACATCATGCTATCGCTATATTTATTCAATATGGCTAAGACCATCTTTGTATTCCAAATTTAAATTACATTATAATTTGTATGCATCTTTTGCATTACAATTTACACGAGATAACATGTCAACGTTTCCGATTGTCAGGTTGTCAATTAGCACAATACAGTGAGGGAAAAAAGTATTTGATCCCCTGCTGATTTAATACGTTTGCCCACTGACAAAGAAATGATCAGTCTATAATTTTAATGGTAGCTTTATTTGAACAGTGACAGAGAATAACAATAAAAAAACATCCAGAAAAAGCATGTCAAAAATGTTATAAATTGATTTGCATTTTAATGAGGAAATAAGTATTTGACCCCTCTGCAAAACATGACTTAGTTGTTGGTGGCAAAACCCTTGTTGGCAATCACAGAGGTCAGACGTTTCTTGTAGTTGGCCATCAGGTTTGACATCTCAGGAGGGATTTTGTCCCACTCCTCTTTGCAGATCTTCTCCAAGTCATTAAGGTTTTGAGGCTGACGTTTGGCAACTCGAACCTTCAGCTCCCTACACAGATGTTTTTATGGGATTAAGGTCTGGAGACTGGCTAGGCCACTCAAGGACCTTAATGTGCTTCTTCTTGAGCCACTCCTTTGTTGCCTTGGCCGTGTGTTTTGGGTCATTGTCATGCTGGAATACCTATCCACGACCCATTTTCAATGCCCTGGCTGAGGGAAGGAGGTTCTCACATAGGATTTGACGGTACATGGCCCCGTCCATCGTCCCTTTGATGCGGTGAAGTTGTCCTGTCCCCTCAGCAGAAAAACACCACCAAAGCATAATGTTTCTACCTCCATGTTTGACGGTGGGGATGGTGTTCTTGGGGTCATAGGCAGCATTCCTCCTCTTACAAACACGTCGAGTTGAGTTGATGCCAAAGAGCTCCATTTTGGTCTCATCTGACCACAACACTTTCACCCAGTTGTCCTCTGAATCATTCAGATGTTCATTGGCAAACTTCAGACGGCATGTATATGTGCTTTCTTGAGCAGGGGGACCTTGCGGGCACTGCAGGATTTCAGTCCTTCACGGCGTAGTGTGTTACCAATTGTTTTCTTGGTGACTATGGTCCCAGCTGCCTTGAGATCATTGATAAGATCCTCCCGTGTAGTTCTGGGCTGATTCCTCACCGTTCTCATGATCATTGCAACTCCACGAGGTGAGATCTTGCATGGAGCCCCAGGTCGAGGGAGATTGACAGTTCTTTTGTGTTTCTTCCATTTGCGAATAATCGCACCTACTGTTGTCACCTTCTCACCAAGCTGCTTGGCAATGGTCTTGTAGCCCATTCCAGCCTTGTGTAGGTCTACAATCTTGTCTCTGACATCCTTGGAGAGCTCTTTGGTCTTGGCCATGGTGGAGAGTTTGGGATCAGATTGATTGATTGCTTCTGTGGACAGGTGTCCTTAATACAGGTAACAAGCTGAGATTAGGAGCACTCCCTTTAAGAGTGTGCTCCTAATCTCAGCTCGTAACCTGTATAAAAGACATCTGGGAGCCAGAAATCTTTCTGATTGAGAGGGGGTCAAATACATATTTCCCTCATTAAAATGCAAATCAATTTATACAAATTTTGACGCGTTTTTGCCGGATTTTTGTTGTTGTTATTCTGTCTCTCACTGTTCAAATAAACCTACCATTAAAATTATAGACTGATCATTTCTTCATCAGTGGGCAAACGTACAAAATCAGCAGGGGGTCAAATACTTTTCCCTCACTGTATGTATTTGAGTCAATTATGCTGATCTGTTTGTCCGTTGGAAATCAGGTTAACCTCATATATAAATCTCACAATGATGAATGAGCTCACGCGCGGATGCTCGGTGGATTGCTGCATGGCAGGGGCCATACGAGATGGCAGAGGCTTGCAAGGGCCCTCATGCGGGAGTGGATTGATTATGGCTGATGAAGGTGATAGTGGTGCTTCTTTGTTATAAAGATGCAGCTCTGTTTTCTGACATTTGTTTTCTTACACCGTTATTAATGTCGCTGTCATTTTTGTATTTGAGTAATTAAGTTTCATAATATATCTTCATATATCTTTTTTTTTGCAAATTGGACCGACACGGTACATAGGCAATTACGCTTGACTCACAATACGGAAGAGAGGCACAGCATTTAAGACCTACAGTTTAACGGGCAGCTGGGAAGTTACCATCAACTATTCTTATCTCTTCAGATTACCAAAACAATGAAAATACCATATATCTCAGGAGTAACTGACACATTAGCCTGTGTTTTGCAAAAGCAAAACATTAAAGTAAGATTTGGTACGGTACACAAAATAAAAAAAAACTAGTGTCTTGTACTAAAGATGAATTACCGAAGTTATCAACAAAAGGTGTATATCGGATCAATTGCTTATGCGGTAAATGTTATATTGGACAGACGGGACGTAACA